CCAAATCACTCTCTCTCTCTCTCTCTCTCTCTCTCTCTCTATATATATATATATATATATATATATATATAAAGGCCGGTAGAGGTCACACCCAACATTGACACAAAACAAATCTACTATTTTTGTTCTTTACATTCTTAGTTCTACTTTTTCCTTCTAGGTCAGTAGCTATGCTTTGCTAGTTTCCCGCAAACAAGCCACGCGCTCCAACCAATTGGAGTAACTATCATTTGCTGTTCTTGCATGTAAAGCAGCCGGTTCTTCGCTGTAATTGAAATTATCCTTTTATTAGTTTGCTCGAAAACTAGTCGTGGCGCTGGTAGGAAAGTGAAGCAAATAGTCATTGGCGACTCCATGTGTTGATTTTCAACGTCAACAGTCGCCATGAGGAGGAAACGGGGCTGAAACCAACAACGAATGAGCTGCCACTTTGGCAGCTAAAAGGGTGCCGTCACATATATGTATCTACACATATATGTTCCATCTTTTCAAAGTCGACTCCGTTGCCATTTTATTTTTTTACGATTTTTCATCCGTTTTTTGTCACGTTTGAACAAATAAATAACTATATTTATATCCGTTTCTCTACTTTAGTCTTAACTAGCAAATTTGCCCGTACGTGGCTACGGGTCAAAAAAAATCCATGATATGTTTTTTATCTGGAGTCGTACCTGTGCGTTGCAACGGAAACCCATACATCTTCGAGTCAGACTCCGCGCCATTGCTGCTAGACACGATTTCTTTTAATCTGTATTAGCACACGTCTTGAGTAAGAATCATGTCGACGATTGCACTGATATACATGTACAATGTACACATACATTTATTTATATTAGATTCGATAACAAACTGCTCATGATTTTAGTTTTACGATTTGATTTGTGGAATCATTGATTGATCCTGTTTCTTTTTTTTCAGAATGATTGATCCTATTTCTAAGAAGAATAGGTTTTATTAATAAAAATATTATCAACAACTTATTGGCAATATTTGTTTATGAGAAAAGGGTCAAGGTTCAAATACCCATAATGTTAGATTTATCATTTGTTTTTTTATTGTTATATGGAGAAAAGGATAAATATACTAATATAAAAAACAAAAAAGCCGGCAAAGGAAAATACCAAAAGAAAGACATAAAGAAAAAAACAAAAAACAGAAAGGAAAACCAACAAAAACAGACGCAACACACGGACGGTTCTCTACCTTATCCTTATCCCGTCTATACGCACACGCGCGTATCCCCGCATCGCTCATAGGGGCTCGACATCGCCGCCGCCGACCTCCGACACCGCCTCGGAGGAACCTCCCTGCGCCACCCTCCACCACTCCTAGTGCCGGCCTCGCCCTTCCCCGCGCCGAGCCTTCTTGCCCCTCCCCGCGGCAGTCTTCCCACCCAGCCTCACTCTTTCCAGTGCTGGCCAGAGTCCCTACCACCACCCGGTTGTCGCGGAGCACCGCCACCTCCTTGCGTGCCTCGCTGCTGCCATTGTGGCCTTCACTGATGCCGCAGCCCTATGGCCTCCGATCTGGCCGACTTCGTCTGGTCTGACGCGGATGAGGTTCCCCGCCGCGTGAAGCAGCTGGCCAAGCTCCATGCCTCTACGTGCTCGTCTATTAGAGAACCTAGGGTTTGTAATTTGTCTCCACTCATATTTAATTTGTGCCCATCGCCATGCTTTCTTGAGGTCGTCAACACCTATTGTTTTGATTTTATATGTTGTTGTCTTTCCAAAGTTAGTCTGATTTGGGTTTGGATTTGGATTGCTATGCTGTGTGGATTTTGATTCACACTTTTAGTCCCGGGCACCTTCGTGTAGATTTGGGCTTGCCAATTTAAAAAGTCCTTGTATAGATTAGAACTCTTTTTCGATTCGATTTGGATCTTTGGCTGATTTATTGTTTCCTTCAATTTCCCACATCCTACTATTATCTATGTTCTACACGGACTTCTCCACAGCTTATATTCAAAGTAAACTTGCAGCGAGCGGGCGTGGGGCATATGGATTCCTAAGTGAACGCGGTAACAGTTGGGTCAATAAATGGACCAGACAAAAAAAAATCTAGACCAAAAAATCAGTACCCGCTGCTCGTGGAGGTGGCAGAAAAAAAACGCGGTAGAAATTTTGCATTTTTTTATTAGGTATAGACTATGTATATCTATACCTATTTCTTCTACACCTATATATAGCTAATATTAAAGGGGGAATTTTTTTGTTCCAACCCGTTTTTTCATCCTGCTTTTTTTTAATTCATATAAACTGGTCTCGCGCCCACCGTATCTCATACGCGACTCAGACTCATAACTCGTGCTCATACGGTTTACGATAACTAGATTCCAAGACGTATTGGGTCACGCCCTTTGTATCTCTACCTGAACTCATATGACTCATGCTGACAATATACAAAGTTTGATTCCTATACATAGATCCCATTGCAACGCACGGGCACATTTGATAGTAAATAAAAGTGTTTCTAAAATATGTAAAAGGGATTTCTGAAGTACATAGCCAATTCATACTTTATTTTAGCCGAGGATTGACTCAATTTTAGTATAATATTTTTAATGGCAAGAATCAATATAGTAATAATATAATGCATATATCTGAATATCCGGCATCTCAGAAAAACTGCACGTAGTCCGCATGTATGTATGCACAAGGGCACTTCGCACGAAGAAAATTGCATATGACTCCAAACAATGTGCTTTGCAGATATAGGACTACAAACATCAACTTCCGAGAAATAACCCTCGAAATGTTGGCTTCTTGATTTCCATGGCATTAAGTGTATTTCATCTCTTCTTTAATCTAAATATATGTATTTGTGTCCTAATCTGACCCGGTTGCCCTTCTGCTTGGATCGGTCTCCACATGAATCGTTACGTACAGGTGCTAGTCTCGTCGGTTGGCCGGTGGTTGGCCTTGGCTCTCCACATGAATCGTTACGTACATGCATGGCTGGCCGCCGCCTGGGCATGGCTGGCCGCCGAGCCTGGGCTGGCTGGCCGCCGGCTGAGCCATTTGCACAGATTAATACATAATAAAAATTAACAAAAATGAGCCATATGCTTGGATCAAGTAATAGATAAAACCATGAATTTAGCAAAAACAAGCTCATCTCACAAAACCATAATTTTGTTACATCCAATTGTGACCATCAACTGCTATAGCTGCGGCCAAGTGGCCATTCCACCTTTCATTAAGTGTTGTAGCATCTATGCTCAAATGAGGCCTACAACCTTCCAAGAAACCATCAATGCATGGTTTAAGAGCACAAAACCATCCACCTCAAGTACCTCAATCTCCACGACGCTCCCGGGGCTCCGCTTTATTACCTCGGTCTTCCACCTAAACAACAGCTCAAAACTCTCTTCCCATTTGCCATAAACCTCAGCAAGAGCTCTTTCTTTACCCAGCCATACAGTGTCATATGCAATTGTGACCTTGTGATCTCTCTGCAACTTCTTTTGCAATTCCTTAGCACCAATATTTCGATCATCTCTAAGGATACTCACAGCCTTGCTAGCTACCCACTTCTGAGATGGAGTTTTAGTTATCGTCCTCATGGTAGACGCACATGTATGGTGATCGACCAAAACCGTTACCTGCAAAACACAAAATCAATCAGACTCATATTAATTTACAGGAAAAGTAGAATTATCCGTAAATTATACAAAGACTGTGAAACTAAGAAAAGAGTGAAAATAGCATCTGCGCTAACAAAATTTAATACAAATTGACTTGTTCTGATTTGTATATGTAATGTCTAGAAACCATAAAAAAAAGTCAATGTCGTAAATATATGTGAAAATATTCGCTCAATATGCTAAAGCAAATGGTGCAGGTCAAGGAAATCTGCTATTAAGTAATTGCAAAGACCACAAAGAGAACTGACATGACCTATTTGAACGAAACTGATAGCTAGAAAAGGCATTAGCTAAAAGTAGAATTAATGAAAACAAATAAATTTATTCACCTTTACGGTGCTTTGGCCTTTATGTTTGGTGCCATTTATTCTCCAAGGGCAATCACCACCGGACCTGCAATAAGCCATGTATCTCGTCTTACATGACTTATCAGTTCCTAAATCGAACTCCTTATTGATGGCAAATTGTCGCACTGCCATCTTGAACTCCTCCATTGTTAGGTATATTGTACCAATATCCATTGGGGGGATGTTCTTATCATATGAAATCACCATCTCACTTGGTATAGCATCACTTGTAGGAATGGCGGCACCCTCATTATCAACACCCTGCTCATTATCAACACCCTGTTCATTCATTTGGCCTTCATCAACGTGTGTCTCCTCTTCTCTCAAGCCTAGAATTTCACACATCTGGTTTTCACTCACAAGTGCAATACGATCGTCATCATGTGTCTCCACTATTTGTAAGCTATCCCAATCAACTCTTTCCATATTTACTTCGGACCTAAATAAGTGAAATCAATTTAAATACCATGATCCTACTACTGTGCATGTAAAATAACATAAATAATTAACACCATTACCTTTGCACATCAACAACAGGAAGATTGTACTGTACTGCCAGAGGAGGAGCAGTGGGCAGCAATGTTCTCGCTAGAGCTAGAGCATTGGACATGGCATCGGTACGAGCCTCCACTGCCGGCGCAACCAGTCCTTCCGGTGTGGCTAGGCCATCACCCGGCGCGGGCAGCTCGGCCAGGCCATCAGTCAACGGCGCGGCCAGGCCATCAGGCGGCGCGGCCAGGCGAGAGGCCGCCAGGGCTGTAGCTGCTTGGTCATCCATGGAGAGCAGGCGGCCATCCTCTTCGTTGGGCGGCGGTGTTCCATCCATGGGCATCGATGGTAGGGGAGGGAATGGCAGCGGCGTCGTGGTTTAGGGCGTTGGGAGGGGAACGACAAAGGAAGAGCGAGATGAAACGTCGGGCTCGATCAACGATACGTAAGGCCAGAACGTCAAACAGCGGCACGACTCCTCGGTCCTCGTCTCCCACAATTCCCATCTCGCGATAACCATGGCCGCCGACGCCGCAACCGCAGCCCGGGACGGGCAGACGGCCCTCGCGCTCCGCCTCGCCAAGCACCTCGCGCCCCAGGCTCCTGGCGGCGCTGAGGACTCCTTCGCCACCACCACCGCCGCCAACAAGAACGTCGCGTTCTCGCCGTTGTCCGTGCACGCGGCGCTGGCACTGACCGCCGTGGGCGCGCATGGCGCCACGCTGGCGCAGCTGCTCGCCATCCTCGGCGCACCATCGGCCGAGGGACTCGCCGACTTCGGCCGCCGCGTCGCGGACCGCGTCCTCGCCAACCGCTCCGGCGCCGGTGGGCCACACGTGCTCTTCGGCGGAGGCGTCTAGGTTGATGCCGCCCGCGGCGGGCTCACGGACGCGTTCCGCGAAGTCGCCGCCGAGGCCTACAAGTCGGAGGCGAGGACCGTCAGCTTCACTAAGGAGGTTAGTGGATTAGATTAGTTGCTTTTTTTCCTCGTTCCATGGCATTTCTAAATGTGTTGCAAAAGAGAGAGAGAGCGTTACCTTTTCTGCTTCACTTCAACTCTCTTGCATTGTTACTTGTTAGATGCTGAATGGATTTAGAACAGATGGGCGCCTGATTTCTCATTGTATTAGGACGGGTTAAGAACTTAAGATGGAGAAAATTGCAAGTCATCTAGTTTACAAATATTCTTCCAATAGTTGTAAAAAATTGCTAAATCAATGACTTTTCTAATTCACTCAACAAAGCAGGTAGTATATTTGTTAGCTTTATGCAACCATTTTCAATATCTCACTCTAAATGGTAATTTTGCATTATGAATCTTGCAATCATTTTCAATCTCTCTCTCTAAAAGGTAATTTTCCATTAGGAATCTCATATTACTTCAAAATCATCTAGTCATTTTTATACTTTCTTTCTCTCTTATTCATTTATATTGGGAATCATGTCCTTTCATTTCTTTCACATGTCCTTCCACCCGAGATCTATAGATTGGATACATGTGCATTTTTCGGTGCGATTGGATCGGTTTTTCCAAATGTGAAAATGTTGGGAGTTGCACAAGAAGTTTGGAGGTGTTTTTTCAATCTTACAAAAAAAAACAAGATTCGGAGTGGGTTTCGGAAACTCTTGGAGATGCTCTTTATCAAACTAGATTTTTTGATCTCTTATCATAAATAGTAACAGTTTAACCCGGGCTTTGTTTGCATTTGCACATATATTTTATGATCCATCACGCAAGTTGTTCACTAATAACACATACATGCATATATGTTACGTACACTACTGGAAATAGTGACTTTGCCGAGTATAACACTCGGCAAACAGCACACGACATCTACAGTGTCGGCAAACAGCTATTTGCCGAGTGTTTTTTATCGCGCACTCGGCAAGTGTCAAATTTGACACTCGGCAAAAAAAAGTGGTTTGCCGAGTGTTTTTCCAAAATACACTCGGCAAAGGATTATTGTTTGCCGAGTGTTTTTGGGAATTACACTCGGCAAACCTATTTTCCAAAGATTTTTTTTTCTCAGCATACCATTATTGTTTGCCGAGTGTTTTTGGGAATTACACTCGGCAAACCTTTTTTCCAAAGAAAAAAAATAATTTTTTTCTCAGCATATTTTAGTTTAATAGCTGTCATACAAAACACTCTTAGTACACCATATCTGCATGCACATCATGCTCCTGGCAACATAATTCTCATAATAACCACATAGACATAGAAATGAAGATGACAAATTTAAGAGACTAATATCCGCCACCCTTGCCTTCTGCCGCAACGCCATGAAGCCCGCCGCTTCCAGCACCACCACCACACCGCCACCACCACCACCGCTGCTCTCCAGCGTCTATCGCCTAGCTGGTCCAGACCTTCTGAGCTCTCCAGCAACTCCAGCCACATCTAGCCATCATCTTACCATCTGGTCTACATGAGAGAAACAAAGAATCAGCTTATGCATCACAAATCATAAACCAGGAGGTTACAATGAATTGAAGGTCACACTTTTTTAACAGATGGTTCCAAATAAAAACTTGAAAGCAAGATAACTTCTGGTCTATTCTATTATTTACTTTGCAGAATGTGTTTTCTATTCAAAGCAAGACTAACCAGCTACCAGCCTAACATGATTCAACCAACCAATTATCACACACAAGTAAACAGAACATTTCGTCTTATCCTCTAAAAGAGCATTTCATCCTTATAAAGACTAGTCATATTCCTAGTTGTGTCCAACAAGTATCCTTAGGAAGACCTACTGGACAGACAACGCAAGCAATGGTGACAGGTGAAATCTAATCTCTAAAAAAGATAACTTGTGCAATACTACTGAAAGTTGTAACTTCATTAACACATATTTACTTGTGCAAATCATTTCAGTTTAATTGTAATACCATGAGAGTGTGAATAAAATGTGTGGAACTGAAAGGAAAGGTATTGTTTTCTATTGATGGCTACTATAGACCCTACAGTACAATACCACATCATTTCAAGGTTACAAGATGTGAATAACCCGAGCATAGCGGCAATTAAAAATCAATGATGGATCCTAAAAAATAATGGTGCATGTACACAAGTTAGAGATTTCTTAAAAAGTCTTTACCTTGCTAGAGTGGTTTATTACCAGCTAGCAGCCAACATAGCTACCTGCAGTCCTCAAGCATCAAACATGTTATCACGAATTTGTCACACTTACACAACTTATATCTTTTTCTCAGATAATATTAGTATATATCACTAATTTCTATCTTAAGCGAGTAAGGCATAAGGCGAGGCGACGCCTTAAGAGTTAAGACCATCCTACAGTAGTATAGAAGCATGTCATACCTTGATGTTGTCTTCTCCTGTGCAGCCCGCAGTTCCCAGTGTGCATCCAACAACACACTGCAATGGAGAGCTAATTCATGTTAGTAGCTAGGTATTTCACAGGGAATATGGCACCAGCAAAATAGAAATTAAATGAGGGACAGGTAAAGATTAACATGTAGATAAGCACACTGCCACAAATAAAACCATTACACTATGCTTGGAGCAATTCAGCTTGTACATAAATGAGCTAGAGGGCAACAAGTATATGGATCTTCTGTCTAGTACGATCAGGTTAAGGAATTCAACCTCACTAATACAACTGATGTCATCTGGATTAAAATACAAAACTGCTGCAAATTAGCCACACTCACCTACTACCACCATTTCATTTCTGGTTATAAAGTGCAGCAAAATGTAACTCATCCTTAAACACACTTACCTAATACTACAATACTGCTGCAATTAAGCAGCAAATTAGTGAATGTCTAGGAGCAGATATACAAAAATGTAAATTACACCAACATCATCACGCCCAATTAAACAGCCCAGAGGTTGCATAAATTACAATTAAATAGTTCAAATGTACTGTAATAACAGGAACCACGAATCGCAAAGCAAAAGCAAAACCTAACCCTAGATCCACCATTTGCAGCACCTAAACAAGACATGCACAGATCCATTCTTGGGAGGAGCTTACCACGGGGTGTATGCTCGATCCGGAACTGCAGTGCTCATCTGGCAATGGGGAAGGGGCAGCGCAGATAACATCACAGCCCGACCAGGGGCATGGCCAGATGTGCAGCCCATGGAAGAAGAAGGCCGGGAGGGGCGGCGCCGGGAAGAAGGCCGGGGAGGCGGCCTGCCGCCACGCCACGCCGCCACCACCACTACAGCCAGATCCGGCCGCCACCGGCCTCCACCGGCGGATTCGGGAGAGGGAGGCGGATCCGGGAGAGGAGGTCTTGGCGCCGGGAAGAAGGCTGGGAGGGGCGGCGCTAGCTAGGGAAGAAGAAGGCCGGGGAGAGGCGAAGCCTGCCGCCACGCCGCACGCCGCCCGACGCCCGCCACCACCAGAGCGCAGATCCGGCCGGATCCGGGAGACGAGGGCCGGCGCCGAGGAAGAAGGCCGGGAAGGGGCGGCGCTGGGGAAGAAGAAGGCCGGGGAGGCGGCGCCAGGGGAACAAGGGAGAAGGAGGAGGGCGGCAGCCGGGAGAGGAGGAGGGAGGGAGGGAGGCGCTAGGGGCCGGGTGCTCGTGAGGAAGAAGGGGAGGGGACGCTAGGGGCCGGGTGTCCGGGAGGAAGAAGGGGAGGAGGCGCTGGGGGCCGGACAGTTAAGTAGATATTTTTTTGTTTGCCGAATGTCCCAGATCGGGGCACTCGGCAAAGTTTTTTTTTCATTTTTTTTCTTTTCTTTCTTTTCTAGAAAAAAGATTTATTTCTTTGCGAGTGTTCTAGATCTGAGCACTCGGCATAGTTTTTTTTATTTTTATCTTCTCCTTCTTTTCTAGAAAAAAGAATTTATTTCTTTGCTGAGTGTTTTTTTTACACTCGGCAAACCCCCTCTTTGCCGAGTGTTTTTTTTACACTCAGCAAACCAACATTTTTACTGATTGTTTTTTTTATCGAGTGTTTTTAGCGCAGCACTCAGCAAAGATCTTACTTGTTCGCCGAGTGCCCGAGGGAATACACTCGGCAAACATAAAAAGACTCGGCAAATTTGAGGACGGTACATGCAGCTCGTGGCCGCTGTGAAGATGATCAACTCATGGGTGAAGAAGGCGACGGACAACCTCATCGACTCCATCATCTCCACGGGCGACATCAACGCCGACGCCGACACCGACCTCGTGCTCGCCAACACCGTCTACTTCAACGGCGCGTGGCTGGAGCCATTCAACCCCTAACGCACGATGCGGGGCACGTTCCACCGTCTCAACGGAGACCACGCCGAGGCGGAGTTCATGAGGAGCGGCCTCACGTGGCTGGACGTCGCTTGCATGGATGGGTTCAAGGTCCTAAAGCTCCCTTACAAGCGCGGCGCCGCGCCATTGGTGCGGGCGGCGGAGTCCGGTGGAGGGCAGCCCGCCAGTACTGGCCACCTCAAGCGCCGCCGCGGGCAGGTCGCCGCAAAGTCCAAGGCCACAGCGCCGTTGACGGAGGTCAACGCGGGCACGCAGTACTTCATGTTCTTCTTCCTCCCAGACGCGCGCGACGGCCTCTCGACCATGGCGGACATGGTCACCGCGTCGCCGTCGTTCCTGTACGGCATCTTGGCCGAGATGAAGGAGAGGCCTGTCATGCTGGAGCTGCCCAAGTTCGCGACCTCAGGCGGCTGGGCCTCTCGCTGCCTTTCTCGCCGGAAGTCGCCGATCGACCTGCGTGGCATGTGGAAGGGGGACGATGGGGACGAAGTAGTCGCCGGTGCTGCACGGCGGCCGACGTTCCTGTCCAAGGTTGCGCACACGGCGGTGGTCAAGGTGAACGAGGTGGGAACCGAGGCAGCCGCGGTGACCGTGCACTTATGTGGCGGCGGTGGGCCACCGCCTGACCTCGTCGAGTTCACCGTTGACCATCCCTTCACCTTCTTCATCATGGAGGAGCGGTCCGGGGTGATCGTCTTCGCGGGGCATGTCCTTGATCCGACCAAGTGATCGGCTTCAGAGATAAACTCAATCCAACCTGCACTAGTTAATCTGCAACGACACAGACTGCTTAAAACTGCTTGAATTGCTTAGTACTAGAAGTGTTTTATTGCTATATACTTTGGTTTCACTTTCACCCTGGATTTCTTTGTTTTTTTTCGTTTGTTATTAGTGATTTCGTCTCGTGCCTCCATCTTGTTTGTTGGTTCTTTTCAAAATACTAGGTAGCATGCCCGTACGTCGCTATGGGATAACTAACAATTTATACTAAAAACACATGAATCGCACGATAAGATAACAATAATGTTAAATTAAATACCAACGTTAAAGTGACATTTAATCCAAAAAACAAAGTTTATGAATTTAATAAGGAGTGCGCGGCGTCGCAAGCTCACAAACTCTAGAGCTTCCAGAGATTGGGTTGAATCCAACCTATAGCCTCAGAACCCTGCATCTTTTCTTGGACGGGCTTCACTTCTGATGCGCCGGTAGCAATATCAACGATCTCCAGTCGATGGACCAAGTCGTATGGATCCCCATACAATGGCTCAGACATGTAGATTTTGTTCTCTTTGTACTTGGATACACGTGTTCCACTGAAGCTTTCATTAAAATGTTTAGACACGAACAGTCTCTGATCACCGATGTCCCTCACCCTAGATCACTCCGGCGTACGGTCGTGGAGGTTGCACTTGTAGATCGCGCTGTTGTAGGTGAAGCTCTGTGTCTCGTGGAACGTGCTCACCATGGTACCCACAATATGCAGCTCACCGTTTGATTCCAGGTAGCTGTGGTGGCAGAGCCCCGCAGGTGGCGACAGCGATGGCAATAGCATTGCGGTTGGAGTAGCGCCGGCGGCGTTGCTGCTGCAGATGGAGATTTCTCCAGTGCAGTCGATCGCCAAGAACTTATCTTGGCAGTGGACAATGGACCTCACGGAGAACTCCAGTTTGGTGTCGAGCAGCGTCCATGCGCTGTCGACTCCAACCCGGCAGAACGCAACCTCCGTGGAGCACCCAAGCATGGCCATGGCCATGCACTCGCAGTCGGCGGTGTCAGGCGGCGCCGAGAGCACCATCTCACGGAAGAACACGTCCCTCATGTCTTCCAGCTTGATGGCTCTGCCTGCGGCATCCGCGTCCCCGTAGCCGTTGGTGGGATGGAGGACCCACCGGCCGTGGACCCTAGACACATGTTCCGATGAGGACGCCGCCGCGACGTGTTCGCCTGCTGGTGGGAGCTCAACGCGGGGGGCACGGGCATCGGCGAATGGATTCAGCAGCGTCACGGACGCCGCCTTGTCCATGAGCGCCAGCCACCCACACGAGGAGCCGCACGCCACCTTGCCGCGCACGTCGGGCAGCGTCTTGGACAAGACCTTCTTCTTCGGGACGCAGTAGAAGCCGACGCGGTCCGAGTCGGGGTCGAATGGGAGCAGCAGGAGCGGCCCAAAGGTCACAAACGGGACGGTGGCGCGCCATGGGGAGCAAGCGGATCGGAAAGACGCCGCGTCGTGACCTGACGCGAGACGCTGCCCGATGGACTCGAGGAGATCCTCTGACAGGCCGGATCTCCAGTCAGGGAGAGGTAGGGACCTTCTCTTAGGATTGGGAGGCTAAGCCATGAAAGACAGATGACATCAACTATGGCTCACGTAAGAAACAGCAAGTGAGGGCGATGGAACACGTGAGCGTAAAACCAAATAAAAGGAGGAAAAAGCTGTCCCTTTTGCAAATGCAAAGAGAGAAAGTAATTAAATGTAGGCAGATTTGGCAAGATTCCCAGAAATGCAAAGAAGTTACTTTTGTCTTAATTCTCTTTCCTTCTGTGTTAGTTCTCTTTCCTTTTGGTCGTTGCCATATATGCTGGTGCATGCAAACATGCAATGTGTATATGGATAGCACAATAATTTTCTACTTTCTATTTTGCCGTGATTCCTCTATATGACAGGCAATATTCAATCAAGGAGAATGGCATGATCAATCAGTAATTAAGATGTCGGGGGATCGCAGGCGTGGGCAGACGGACGAATCAAAACAAATGTCGCACTAAAAAATATCCACACTTTGTTCTTTTTAGTTGTAGGAGATAGCGTGGTTAACTAACCAGTAACCGTGATTGGTCTGGTCTTTAAGAAAACACTACTGAGTTTCAGAGATGAACTCAGTTCAGCCTACACTACTACTCTTCATTTCTGCAATGACACAGACTGCTTGAATTGCTTAGTAGTAGTAGTGTTTTATTGCTATACTGGCAGTGGGCTAGTGGCAGGCCAGCACACTCGTTAGTCGTTGCGTTGCCATTACTACTGAAATTCAGATTCTATTTACACATGAAAACGAACATGGTCATACAACACTTGAAGAAAGGAGCACAGATTGCATCACCATAGCTATATATCCTAATTAACAAGGCATTACTGCTAAAGCAATTACAATCATGCTCAGGAGGGAAGTTAATCTCCTCCTATACTTCCTGGTATTGTCTGTGCTGCTTGTATGTAATGCAGACATCGTTCTCTCTTTGCGTTCAGTTTCAGAGGGGATGCCTTGCAGGATGTGTTGTCACAGCTCTGTAGTAGCAGAAGGTCCTGATAATCTTCATTGGACAGTGTCTCGGCCCTCCTAATTGTTGTCCTGTCCTGCAGATCAGTGGTTTCATTCTCATCCTTCATCTCTTCATCCCTGCGTGCTGTCTGATTGAAGAGATTGCAAATGTTCAGAAGAGGCCACTAGTTCCTTACGATCACTTATCCAGGATCTGTCGATCTGATGACAATAAGCCGTTGTGCATTGTGTCAGCAAAAGAAGGATACATTCAGGCAATGAGCGAGCCGCAGGAGAGCACCAGGGGACGACGGCGGCGGAGGCCACGAGAGTGGCGACAGGCTCAGTACGGTCGTATACGTCCATTGGGCTTGATTGCTTTAGAAATATGGTTCCAATCGAGTGCAAATCCAAGCTGATTGTATGGAGGTGGTTGATACAATGCTAGGTGGAGGTTTCTCAGCTACAGCTTGGGCGGCAATATATGATGAATGTTGTCTGCTCTGGGAGTATTTTGCTGCAATTTCTATTAGCCACTGTAATAGGCTGGGAGAGTAATTCAGTAGCTCATGAGCTGGTTAGGCAAGCAATGGTAGAGGAAAGCTCTTGTGTTTGGATAGATGACCCCCCCCTGCATCTATTCGCCAATTACACGTAAACGATGTAACTATCTTCTCGAATCAATAAAGCTTGCCGAATGGTTTAACCTAAAAAATACATAATAATGCATAAGTTACGTAATTTAGTATGGATTTCATATGCCAAAGTAAAATAAATCATGCATTCCAAACATAAACAGCGGTTGTGAACGAGAAATATAGTGTTTCTAAAATACGCAAGGGACTTCTGAATTACTTCCTCCGTCCTGTAATATAATACATTATAGCATTTAAAATTTGTCCTTAAATATAATGAATTCTACAGGACAAAAACCAGCTTTGCATTGAATACTTTCTATTTATTGTCCGGTCAACATTAATTATGTTGATGATAGCGTCCGATTAGAAGATAAAATGAGAATACGTCTTTTATGTTTTCTCCTAATTTGTAAAAAAAATTCTAGAGACAGATGGAGTACATAGCCAATTCATAGGATCGGAAGTAATTTATTTTAGCCGAGGATCGACTGCTTTTAGTATAATATTTATTTAAACCACAGGAATCAATATAATAAGATATTATAATCACTACCGGATACGGGAGCTTTGCCGTGTGCCTAGGGAACTAACTTTGCCGAGTGTTTTTCGTCGGGCACTTGGCAAAGACGTTGTCGAGTGCCAAAAAACACTGGGCAAACATTTTTCGCAAGAAATAAAAAAACAAATTGCCACCGGCCGCCGCCCACCATGGCCACCACGCCACCACCGACCGCCACCCACCACGGCCACTACGTCGCCACGCCCGCTGCCGCCCCACGCCGGACGCCGCCCGCCACCACGCCACCCGCCGCCACGCCACCCGCCCGCCACGCCGCACGCCACCCACCACACGCCGCCACGCCACCCGCCGGATCCGGGAGAGGGGAGGGGCGGCCGCCGGGACGCCGCCGGATCTGGGGAGGGGAATGGCCACTGCGGGATCTGGAGGCGGCGCCGGGGAGAAGGGGAGGGAGCAGCAGCCGGGGGAAGGAGGGGCGGCCGGGCGGATCTAGCCAGGAGGGGAGGGGCCGCCGCCGGATTCGGACGGGAGGAGAGGCCACCAGGCCGAGAAGGAGGGGGCGCAGCACGCATGCGGATAAGGGAGAAGGGGAGGGGGTGGCGCGGCGCATGCGCGGAGAAGGGAGAAGGGGAGGGGGCGGGCGAGCGCGGCGCGGGGAGAAGGGGAGGGGCGCGTGGTGTGCGGGAAAGAGGAGGGAGGCAGTGCGGGTAAGAGGAGGGAGGCGGGGTTTTATTCCCAGAAAAAATATTTTATTTCTTTGTCGAGTGTCCTAGATCTGGGCACTCGGCAAAGTTTTTTTTTATTTTTTTCTTCTCCTTCTTTCCTAGAAAAAAAGATTTTTTTCCTTTGCCGAGTGACCTAGATCTGGGCACTCGGTAAAGTTTTTTTTTCATTTTTTTTCTTCTCCTTCTTTTTCAGAAAAAAGATTTTATTTCTTTGCGAGCGTCCTAGATCTGGCCACTCGGTAAAGTTTTTTTTATTTTTTTTCTCCTTCTTTCATAGAAAAAAGATTTTATTTCTTTGCCGAGTGTAAAAAAAACACTCGGCAAACCCCCTCTTTACCGAGTTTTTTTTTTGACACTCGGCAAACCTCCTCTTTACCGAGCGTTTTTTTTTTGCCGAGTGTTTTTAGGGTAGCACTCGGCGAAGAACTTATTTGCGAGTGCCCGATAGAATACACTCGGTAAATATAAAAACACTCGGTAAATTTGACATTTTCGGTAGTGAATGTAATGCATATACCCGAATATCGGGCATGTCAGAAAAACTGCACGTAGCCCACTTTTTTTTTCCCGCATGTATATT